GGCAATTTGTGCATCGAAAAAGCATTCGGAGACTAATATAGTCATTGCGTGTTGTTTTGATGCTTTTTAATATTCTAAAATTGAAAATTTACATATTTTATAGATTTTCAAATTTAGAATACAAAAAAGCAGCAAAACAACATGCAACAAACTCGCGACTGGTGACTTCACTGGGCTGCCCGGCATATAACCTGCGTTGCATGAGAACGAGAAGTTTCTAGAATAGCCAGCTTAAAATAAAAGGAATTGACCCATTAAACCTATCCCGATGGATCCACGGGCCTCATTCAACCGACTTCACCTGTTCACAGACCCTCGATTTCCTCTTCATTGAAGTCCGTCGAGCGCGCGTGATAAAAAATAAAAACCGCGGGGGATTTAATGCCGCCAATCACACTTGAGAGTTTAGTGTAGTAAAAAGCCTTAATTATGGTTAAAAAGAGGTAGACAAAGTTTACTATGGTAAATCGGACTTGTTTGCTTTAACACTTCTAAAGTGACTTTGTGATTCAAGTGTGTCAATCAAACGTTAAGTTGGTAACAGAGGAGAATAAATACAGAGATTCCTTTGTTGTGTGCATGATTGCCGATTGTAATTAAGTCGTTTTTGTATTTCTCTATTCCATTCGACCAAAAATGTATGGCCCACCATAGACCGGATGTTCGTCTAGATAACCGCCAGGGGGGATAATAAACTACGAGACGGTGGAGCTCTGAAATGAAAAGAAAAGAAAGAATTAAAGAGGGTTGAAATGCGCCGTGAACATGTACAAGTAACTCTGTAATGTCACAACATATTAACTCAGAGTAAAAAAAATCAGAGGTATGACTGTGTGTTTACCATTCAGAAATATAATAAATTATAGTACCAATTAAATAAGTTGAAATAAAACTTACCTTGAGGTAAATGAATAGTTGTCTGAACTGAATTGCTGTTCTGTGGTAATAGTTCCCTACAAACCCGAGGTCCCGGCAGAAAGCACGTACACGTGCGTAGCGGCGTTGCTAAAACAAAGGTAAGGGTAACACCAAGGGTAAGGGTGGAGGTAAGGGTGGGGGTAAGGGTGGGGTGGGGGTGAGGATAAGGGTGGGGGTGAGGGTGAGGGTGAGGGTGAGGGTGAGGGTGAGGGTGAGGGTGAGGGTGAGGGTGAGGGTGAGGGTAGGGGTGAGGGTGAGGGTGAGGGTGAGGGTGAGGGTGAGGGTGAGTTTAAGGAGTAGGGTGAAAGCGTATGGTACCATAACTGTACCGATGACCATGCAGCTATCATTCACCCGTTACTCTTACTGGTTTTGTTAGGCACAAAAAAGAAATTTTTTTCCTGGAGAAAAAAAAATCGGTCCAAGAGTTGAGGAAGACCGGAAATCAATGACCGGAAAATTGTCTGCTGATCTCCCTCCCCTGGTCTGACCTCAGAGTTCTCATATTACTCTACTCATGGAAACCAATTAGAGAGTAAACCTATCGTATGGTAATCACGTGATCATACAATCTTAGAACGTCCACAATCCCTCATTCCCAGTTGATATTTTTTGTGTGGTCGCTTTTCTCTTTCTTGAATACCACGTATTATATTACACCAAACCTACATCACTTTAACTGATGTACCAACTTGTTTATTAAATTTGATATTGTTCGCAATATCAATTCATACCCCCAAAATATCCCGACAATCTTTCAGATATGTTACATTTGGAGACGAGCAAACTGTACATCTAACACTCTCCCTTAAAAAAGGCAAATGTATGGTCTTCAAACCGCGCCAAGTCCAAGACGTACGAATTGTAAAATTCAAAGAAATATTGGCAATCCACATCATGATTAAATTGGAATTCCCACAACTCGAACTCCTCGCAATTGAAATTTTGCTATTCGATTAGTCATATTTTCCTTGTTTTTTCTTATAATAGCAATCCCTCACCCTAACCCTCACCCTTGGTGTTACCCTTACCCTCGTTTTAGCAACGCCGCGTGCGTAGAGCTGGCGCAATTGAAGAGTTGCATTTCAAGAAAACTGACAAGTTGTTAGCTAAAAAAACAAAGTTAAGATAAACTTGTGATAAACCTAAAATTGATATCCCGTTCTAGAAATGGGCCAATTTTTTATATCCCGTTCTAGAATTTGCCCTAAAACTGATACCCCGCTCTAGAAATGGGCAAATTTTTTATTCTCCGTTCTAGAAAGTTTGTAAATTGAAATAGCCCTGTTTTTTACAAAAGATATTTCTTTATTTTTTCTGACTTATACATCAAATAAATGCTTCTTCATAATCAGCAACAATTTTAAGCAGAAGATAAAGCCGTGATCCACAATTTTTTATACCCCGTTCTAGGAAACGCCTCTGAAATAGATACCCCGTTCTAAATCAGCAGCTTTAAAATCACGACCCCGTTGGGCGGCACATACCCGTATAGGTAATGTATGGGAGTACCTCCCCGGGCGTTGATGCTACAGACTAGACGAGCATAAAGTGAGAAAAGCCGGTCACATTAAAAACGACTGAAACTATGGTAAACTTTACTTTACTAGAGTAAAAAAAGCCCAACTGTGACCTCAGCCATCTCATTTTTAAAATATGGTAGACACAAAAACGCATTTTGCCACAAGATAAGAATGTTATGTTTCAAGATTTTTATCTTTCGCTTCTTGCTGACCTCGAAAAGTTTAAAGATTTGATTACTCACACGCCGATGTAAACAGATCAAACGGTCGATAACCTAATTTTTTTAGTACCGTAATATGAGTTGAAGATTCGCTAGTTTTCTCAACAATGACTAACGTATTTTCATGGAAGACAATTACTAGTGTGTTATTTACTCCTCCGAAATTTTAGGTGAAACGCTTTTCACAGCTAAATCCGTGGGTGCACGTAGCTAAAGACTGAACTAACGCACACCTTGAAATAGCCCACGTTCGATATATTAAAATTCGCACATGACTTCGAGGCTTTCCGGTCATTTTGGCGTTCTTAGTGCTCAATACTCTTCTGGAAGGGAAAGGTGACGGGGGGGACGGGGTGTTGAGGGGTTTTTCATGTCAGCTACGACATTTTATCCATTGTACTGAAGTGCATAATTTCATAAACGAATAATTCACTGGGGATACAAATCTAGCCCGAGTGCCACCCCTGGGGAATGCAGTCCATATTGTTGTTGGAAACGTTGCGTCTAAGTAATCCTTCAATGAGAAACTGTATGTATGAATCTATATCCAGGATGGGGGCTCAGTTTCGCGATTGCGACCTTTCTTAGTTGGCGAATCGGACGAGTTGGATCTTTCCGTATTACAAACGCCTTTGGTTTTAAACAGATTGTTTCCTATAATGAACATTTGCTTCCCCTTGTCTCCCTCGCTGCCGCTACGGTGTTGTCAGCAGTAGCGTTGGGTGACGACACTAAATAAAGACTAAAGCGGCTGTGAGGGAAGCTATACTCACCCCAACACCCAAGACTGTTAACCAACATAAGCAGATAAAATCTCTAATTCATCAGCGTTTAAAGACGCGTTCGCTCGTGGAGATCTAAATCCTTTCCGCAATTTGTGGAATCGAATTAACCGTCTGCACAAGTCGTGTCGAGCTAAAAATTACGCTCCAAAGTACTCACGGTGGAACGACGTGAAGGAACTTCGACGATGAGGTCCGATACTTGGACAGATCCCAAATCCGCCTGAAGGCACAGTGACACAGGTCATAATTCTGGTCCTGCTTCCCCTGCGGATACTGTTAACAAGGCATTCCTTGAGCACTTTCATTTTTTGCGCCTCTAGCCACGGACGTCACAACTTTTTCTGGACTCTCCGTACTAAAGAATCTCTCTGCGGTGAGTTCAGCCGAGGCCTTTATGGCGGGATAAGCTGATACCACCCGGACTGCTTTTAAAAAGAAAACGACGATTGTTGGCCCAGCTGTTACTGGCAGCATCGACTGTTTGTTTGCAGAGGCCCGACTGCCGCAGGCCTGGATAAAAAAGAATGTCCATATTGTTCTGGTACCTAAACAAGTATCAGTCTGTATGACTTAGACATGCACTCACGGCAAAATGTTCCCAACACCTGTGCTATCGAAAATGGCAGGAGAATTCTTGGACGACCGTAAAACCTGATGTGTTCGTGACAGTGGATCCAAGACAGTTTGTTGCTTTGCCAGCGTCATGTCAATCACCACAGAGGCGCTCATCGCATGCTTAGAATACAGTGAAACCTGTATTAAGTGGACACCCTCGGGGAATGCTGTAGTGTCCGCTTAATACAGGGTGTCCGCCTAATACAGGTTTCTATAGATAACGTCATGTGAGGTGTCAAACGCCATTCAAATGAACAGTGGAAACGTTTAGAATATGACGATATACGTTTGCATGAATTTCTTTATCAAACTGGACCAATCGATCATAGTACCTTAAACAAAGATTGCAACTCAAATTTGAAGAAATTAGATGAGTGAGAAAAGCTGTATACAAACAAAACGAAATAGAAAACAATACTGTACGGGGAAACTAATCAAATAAGTTCGTCAAGTCACGTTTTTTAATGTAAAAATGGAAAAATTTGTGGGTGGCAATTCGCATTTCCGGTGTCTGGCATGTTCGGTGGTGGAATTTAATTACAAGTGTCCGTTTAATACAGGTTGGCAACAATAGAGGTGTCCGCGTCCGCTTAATAGAGGTGTCCGCTGAATAAAGGTTTCATTTAAAGTAAATCAGGGAAATAAATTTGGGGATTTAGGCTACTATCCGCTTAATAGAGGGTGTCCGCTTAATACGGTGTCCGCTTAATACAGGTTTCACCGTAGTGCAACTGTGGGGAACGGGCCACTGTGCTCATAGCGTTGTTTGATTTTATTGATTACGGGAAACTGAACCACAAGAATTTTAATGCTGTTGACGTGAAAACTAAAAACGTGATAAGTATTTCCCAACACCATCGCTTGATGTTTCTCTGGGTTTGTAATCATACCATTCACACCAAACCTGCGATCAGCTAATCTCACTGGATCTTTATCTGAGTCATGAATCTGCTCATCGTCAGCGTAAGCTACATACTCTATCCATAAAGTAAATTGAAGAGAAAGAAAGAGAAGAGAAAACCAAGTGTATGCGTGTATGCTTTTTTATAATAGTCTTGTCATGCCTTTATTTGATTTATGCAGACCTAGCCTTGTTTGGGGAGACAAGCATGTAACCTTAATGACAAGTTTGCAAGTCTTGCAGAATAAGGCTGCTAAAATAATTTTAGACAGACCTCTTTAATCATCTGCTACGCATGCGCTTGCCACTCTTAAGTGGGTTCCATTAGAAAAAAGGCGTTTTCAGAGAATATGTATCTATGTGTATAAGAGTTTAAATGGACTTGTTGAGCATGATATGAACTTCATACGACAGCAAGAGCAGCATGATTGTAATACCAGAACTAAGCTGAATCTATGACTTCCAAGTATCCAAGAGGAATTGGGGCAAACAACGGACTGCATTTCATGCCATCAAGGATTTTAACTCCCTTAGCCAGGCAATCACACAATCCGTGAATCTGAATATTTTTAAACGTAATCTTTTTAAGTTTGTAATTTAAATGAATTTCATGCCACCAAGGATTTTTACTTCCTTAGCCAGGCAATCAGACAATCCATGAATCTGAATATTTTTTAAACGTTATCTTTTTAAATTTGCAATTTAACTGAATTTGAGTTAATATCTTGTACATTTTAATAGTTTTTATATATTTTAGCTTTTTAATGTCTTTGCGAATTGTGTGTATTTTGTATTTTTTTTAATTTTGTGAGATCCTTTTTGAAATCCTTATATCGTATGAAAAAGTCATCTCAATAAAGATTATTATTATTATTTATTATTATATTATTATGTTAGGCTCATGAATTTACTGCTCTCACACGGTGCTAGGAGTTATATCCTTAGGAAGTCACGCCAGTTCAATCCTGTTTTAAGACAAATAGATTCCATAATAGTTTTCTTATTTTTATTGTTTTTAATACACACTGAAGGTTTTAGCTTGTTAAGGCCTGGTTGCCAAGTGATTAACACTTCCAACTCCGGATTTCGAGGTCCGTGGTCAAGCCTTATCTTCGCGTTGTTTCCTTAGACAAGACACTTTGCTTTAATTTGTCTCTCTTCATTTAGGTGCATAAATGGGTGACGGTAATATAATACCGCGGTTAACCACAATTGTATGAACTACGTAAGTCCTGTGAAACGAGTGTCTAGATTTCTCACAAACTGCAGAAATGTAAAAATGGATATGGCGTCACTGCATTGTTATGAAAAACGCATATCCCGAAAAACTTCCCTTAAATTCTAATCTTTACTCTTCAAGTGGGTATGATTCGATTGCTGACTTCGTTTGAGGTATATTTGTATTCAAACAGAGTAGGTATGGTCACTTAAACACAGGCTTTTTAATTTTAATTCACCGATACATGTACCTGTACATGTACAATAGCACCAGCAAGTTCGCCTTCAGTATTTTGTTAAGTGAACTCTTCTAAAGCGTCTTGGTTTTTTTTAGTACTGACAGCGGTCACTGGCCAATACGGAGTGCTTTAATTTTTTTTGCCTTTTATTTTCAAGCCGGCCAGTTGGAGCGGGTGTAAAAGCCCTATTCATTCTTGTAGTCCATTCAGACGTTTCTTACCATTTTGCCTCCCATTGAATTGCAGGTAGTCTGTCTTTGATGGTAAATCGTCTTTTAATGGAACCAACCTTTATTTTGCAATTGGATAGCGGCCGTCGACCGATTGATAAGCTCCAAGGAAATATTTACAAGACTATAAAGAACGGGAATTTAGATGAATTAACAGACTTGCTTAGTTCATCTCAAGCAAAAATCGATCTTAATTGTCTGGACAGTTCCAGCAAAACAGCTTTACAAGTGGCAGCAGATCTGGAAGATTCTTCAGTTCGAGAAAGAATAGTTACAGCGCTATTGAATAACGGGGCCAGTTTACAGCTTGGTTTGCTGAATGCAGTCCGTCAAGAAGACGCGAAGGTAGTGGAAATACTGCTTCAATTTTATGATGAACAACACCAGACATCACGGGAATTGCTGTCCGCAAGAGGCAAAACCGCTCATATAACACCGCTTATCTTGGCGGCCTGTTTGCAGAATTTTCAAATTGTCAAGTTGCTTCTTGAAAATGGATTCACTGTTGACGATCCTACAGCCGTTCGATGGTCGAGAGACCCCACGGGAGCGGTCAGCGAGAAGCTCGGTCCCGCAGTGTACCGTTTAAATAAATACCGCGCACTGGCCAGTCCTGTGTTTATAGCGGCGTCTTTTCTGCAAGACGTGCAACGTGGTCCAGACCCAGTTCTTCAAGCTTGTACCCTGAGAAAGCAACTCCGTGACATGGCCGAGCAAGAATACAAATTTAGGAACGAGTACCTTCAGCTATGTGATGGCTGTCAAGAATTCACTGTTTCCCTCCTGAATGAATGCTGAACAATGGAAGAGATCAGATGCGTTTTGGAAACAAAGAGCGAAAGGAAAATGTTGTCTAAATTGGAGACAGATTCCCTAAACACGCTGGAATTTGCAGCGTTTACAAAAAATAAGAAGGTATGTTCTTATTTAACTATAAAATGATCTGAAAATAGTAGCAACATAATTAATAAAAATTTAGTGCATTACTACTATTGAAAAAGGATAGTGCAGGTTGTAGTTGCGCCTCTACTCATTTCAGGACATATAAATCTCAAATTATTACCGTGGAAGCATCCCACCAGAGCCCCTAGTATGCTCATTCTTTCGAGTTCGGATTAGCACCCCCCTACTGTTAACCTTGCTTCGCGCTTGTTGATATCAAATTGACCAGCACATAGAATGGTAAATATTTGTGAGGTGCAGGATGAAGATTACTGAAGAAAAAGACCAATATTGGGCATGAAGTCTCTAAAGAAAGAGAGAAATCAAGATCGACGTTAAGGTTATCATTTAGTTAAATTTCGTCTTTTTTCTAAAATCAGTTCAAATGCTTTTGTATGACGTTGCAATCTCCAAAGTTATCGTGTTGTCGAGAAATTGTAGTTTGGGGGATTTTTGTTGTATGTTACGACGAAACGATCTGCCCGCTTGCTTGCTTGCTTCCTTGATTCTTTGCTTCTTTGCTTTCTTGCTTCCTTGCTTCCTTCCCTCCGAGCATGCTGGGAGATTAATCAATTACATATTGATTGGAACGAGCTTCAATTACTGAGGATCGGCCTCAACACGCGAATTTGCCAAAACCCGATAACTACCAAGTTGGGTTTAAATCAACTGATCCAGGGTATAAATATTTGGAGCAAAAAGTAGGTTTTACTTTGATTATCGTCCATCAAGCTTAAACTGCGTTAAACTAAATGCCATGGTGGTGTGTTATTGGAAATCGCTGAAACAACAATAAGAGCTAATTTCGTTCATAAAATATATACAACTAACGACTCATTTTAACCTTTCAGTTTGTCAGTCATCCCTACAGCCTGCTGACACTAAATTCCGAAATATACAAAAGCGCGCCGTTCCTGGAGGTGAAAAGTGTCTGGAAGGAGTTGGTGTTGATGCTACTAGTGTCCGTCCTGTACCCACTGATTTTCTTGGTTTGGTTCATTTTTGAGACCTGTTTCCCCAGAAATAAACTGACCAGAATGTTTCAATCAACTCGTGTAAAGTTTCTGCTTTACTGTGCCTCCTATCAAACATTTATTTTCGTGCTGGCTTTCATATCTGCTACAAGGCATTTGAATTTTGAAGGAATAGACTTCTTGGGATTCTTGCTAACTGGTAAGAGCTGTGACATAAAATATGGTAATCTTTCACAATAAATGCGCTTTTTAGAGCTTCATTTGTTGCAATAGACTTTTTCCCAAAAGCTTCCCTTGGGGGAAATTGGATTTGGTTGGGTTCGCTCTGGTTTAGATCATTTTGTTGTTTGCCCATTGAAGGGAAGGAAAAACTGGAACCCGATTTCACTGTAACGTAAAAGTCCTTGTACACATTGAAAACTGTTTAAATCGTAAAACGTTTTCGGTCATTTCACCCTTTGAATGAAACCTCCACGTCAATTATTCTTAGTAATAGCAGCGATTCAGGACTCAATTTTAAGAGTTTTGAAAAGACTTCGACTTCATTCGCCCGTAAATAAAAAGGCAAAAAGTCCAAAAAATCGGTTCTAACGACTTCTGTTGTAAAGAAAACTTTCGGCTGTTCCAGGTGCCTTGAATTTGTTAAACGTTAAAACAGTCATCACAGCAGCGCTCGAAATCCTATTGTGTTGTCGAACGTTTCCCAGCGAGCAGCGCGTAGGATTGGATTTGGCGCTAACATGAATACAGCACGTAAACAACACTTGATTTTTACTGTTTGGTACTTCGCTTTCTGGTGATTGGTTGAGCTGCTTTGGGTTCTTATTAACCCATTGAACAATGTCACGGGCAATTCTTTTGTTCTTTTTACGTATCTTTGGAAATTTCCCTGAGGCAATTTCACCTTAAGGAAATCGTTCACACACAAAAAGGTGCTTCCCCCTGGGCCACAGCCATTTGCCCAGGAGTAAAACCATGTAAAACGGCTAGTGTAACCGTACCTAATGTCATGTTATCGACGGTTTTCCTTCTTATTTCCACAGTTTTGTTTTTTTACACGTATATCCCTGCTTTTGTGATTGGTCTAACAGTGGATATTATCAAGGACATTGTCCAACAAGGAAGAGTCCGCTTTTTTTCTTACCATTGGAACTATGTGGCTGTGGCAACAGTGGTTTCATACGGCCTCGGCAGCGCCCTTTGGTGGACTAGCCAATATTCGTCGCCGGAGGAGGAAGCCAAACATTTCTCTCAGGCGCTTTTGATAACCTCCAACTCCTTGAGGGCTTTGGCAATCCTTCTGGCCTGTGTCCACAATTTATCATTTTTTCAAGCAAATACCAGTATTGGTCCACTGCTAAGTGCATTTACACAGATGCTAGTTGATGTTGCAAAGTTCTTTTTGTATTTCGTTTTTGTTTTTCTGGCATTTGC